CTATCTATGGCCTTCAAAAAGTTGACGACTCTACATATTTTGACGTTGGATGATGTTGTAACGTCAAAACATGTAGAGTCGTCAATTTTTTGAAGGCCATAGATATGCCTAAATAAAATGTTTTTAATTGTGTACCAGTTTAACATTGAATATTATTTATGATTTTAAGTCTTCTACCTTTCGTCTTCAGGTCCTGAAGACGAAAGGCGGAAGAGTTTCGAAAGTTCGTCATCTACATTTGTAGGTTTCTACAACAGGTAGTTGCTGCCCATTTGAAACTTAGATTCATTATGAATACTCTGTCTATAAACAACCTATCAAAAATCTGATATACTTTTGTATATTTTTTAATTGTTTAAAATTTTTAAAATTATTTATTCTTGTTTTTCACATATGTAAAAACAACAACACAACAATAGCTATTTTTTTTGTTTTTTATATTTTCCTAGAAACTACTAGAGGTGGAATTCCGGGTCGATGAAGTAGCACAAGAACACCAGAGTAAATTAGAAAGCTTGGAGTCCCTTGTGAGGTTGTTGGAGTTGAAGGCTAAGAATGCTTCTGATCATGGTTTGTACATACATGTGGTTTGTTTGTTCTGTGTAGCAGGTGTTGCATGAATTGTGATTATAACATGCGAGACAAGCTGTGATCAGCTGTTTTTATAGTATGCCCAGTGTAGAGTTAGTTTATATCTTTAAAGTTTAAATATAACATACACAGCATGCATGATCTTGTAGTTTTACTACTGTGTGGTAGCAAAATCACAAGCCTTAAAATAAAATTAGGTTATTTTGTGCATTATATATATATATATTCTTGTTTCTGCTTTTCAATTTTTAAAATGCTTTATCTTAAAAATCCATTAAATAATTCTGTTTAATAATTGCAATAATATGTTTCATTGGTTCTAAAATTTGTTGCTATATTATGATGGGATTAGTTGCAATAAATCTTAGTAAGTAGGTTATTTATAGTGAGTGTCCTTTAGAGGATTAGTTATAGTTTATAGAAACATTTTGAATGTTCATGTCAACGATGGTTCAGCAACTTTCATTCAGGTGACTTTAGCCTTAAAAACTGTGATTGCATGGGGCCCACATGTTGGAATTGATATTTGTGCTC